TTTGAAATAACGAAGTTTGTTATTTCAAATATAACACCCTGTATTTTTTTAAATAAATCGAAGCAGATTTAAATGCTCTTTCAAACTGTATTGGGGTTTCCTATACCTATCTAGCTCAGATTTTGATTAAAAATCGATTTTTCAATAGAATGGCAATCAAGATGGCTAGTGTCGCCATGGCAATTTGCTAGTGACAGTAGATGTTTTCAAAATCCACATTAGTTTATGACTTTATTTAAATTTATAACAGTTTACTTTTATTTAATTTACCTACAATAGTTTAATAAGTAAGTATTTATTATTATCAAGAAAAACAAAGAAGTAGTTTTTTTATATTACGATGACTTGTAGAAATATTGGATTTTCTAGAAAAGAACCAATTAAGGCAAATTCATTTTCTTCACTTCCAACGACAGGTTTCTGCCTAATAGGTTTTTCATATACCACACTATCAGTTCTGCGAAATAGGAAAAGTTTTTCAAAGGAACGCTTGATAAGAAAATTCATATTTGGATATCTTTGAGCATAAACTCTTCAGGCTAACCCCCAAGCAATTGTCCTCACAAAATAAAACCACTAGTAACATATCCATTCCTTCGGCAGATACTGCTTTACTTTTCTTGATAAAATAATAAATACTTACTTATTAACCTTATTGTAGATAAATTAAATAAAAATAGCCTGTTATAAATTAAAATAAAGTCCATAAACTAATGTCGATTTTGAAAATAGCTACTAAGTGTCACTAGAAAATTGCCATTTATTGAAAAATCGCTTTTTATTCAAAATCTGAGCCAAATAGGTATAGGACCCTAATATAGTTTGAAGGAGCATTTTAATCTGCTTTGACTTATTTAAAAAAATACAGGGTGTTGTATTTGAAATATCGAAGTTTTTATGTAAAATAAATATTTAAAATAGACCAGCAATTTTTAATACCCCTGTATACATTTAAGGAAGCAATCAAGTTTTTTAGTAAAGTTTATTTCTCTGGCTTGAAAGACAGCACAAGAATTAATTCTGAAAATTAATGTACGAGGTGCTGACAAACTTTTTTATTATAGCATGCATAATTAAATATCTTTAAATAGCTCAAAAATCAAAGCTTTTAAACATATTAAACCCTTATAATAAATGCCTTATTTTATGTCCAAGAATCCAAAAATGAAATAAAATACTGGGCGTTCCATAAGAAAAAACATAACTTTGGTATGGATCTCAGTTCTGACACACCCTGTATATTTCAAAATAATTTTAAATTATGCACATTGCCTTCCCACATGTACCCATAAAATATTTTGTTTCTACATCTTTCCGTTTTCGTATAATCAACCGAGGCGAATGAGCTGCGCCACCCTGTATGTTCAAATATACCGAACACTCTCATAAACTAATAATCAGAAAACTATTTATAAAAATCATGTTCGTCAGTTTTTTTTATTTTAAGAATTCAATTTGGCAACACTATAATCAGGTGGGTGCAAGCCACAGAAATATTTACCAAAAGAACGCAAGCGATTTCTGTTTTGTTTACATTTGGAGCATTCTAGTTTCCTGATTATAATTGTGTGTGGTACAGTTATAATAGATGAATTACAACAACTATTCGCAATACTAAAGTTAAAATATCTCCACTGGAAATATAGGTCTATGAAATATGTAAAGATTATGGGATCAGAAACATGCTGGCCAGATAGAAGATCTTTTATAATTAGGCTCAAAAAGCATATGAAGCATCAGTCGACAATTTCTCGTTAGTATGGAGAATCTTAAGCTCATCCAAGAAAGTCGACGTGTCACATATCGTGAAATTAAAGCATCATTGGGCATTTCAAAGACCTCAATTAAAAAAATAAATTTAAATGAAAAATTATCTGTAAAAAAATATTTTATTTACGACATTACTGACTTAAAAAATTTGAAAGTGTCAAATTATCTACATTTCTTCCCTTTTCCATTTTCCTCACCCGTTTCCCTCACCCGTTTCCCTCACCCGTTTCCCTCACCCGTTTCCCTCACCCGTTTCCCTCATCCATTTCCCTTACCTATTTCCCTCAATCGATTTTTGTTATTTCTCGCCTCATTTAATTAAGCAAAATATTCTTGTAATATCTTTATTAAATAGTTATCTAACATTAACAAAAATAAACCAGAAGATTAACAATAATAAATGAAGATTTTAATACATTTATTTGTTGAAGGTAAAAATGCTAGACTTCTTTGGCTTAAAACCTACATTCTGGCGTTTTAAAAAAGCGACGAGTTTGTGATATTTTGATATGTCAGTCTTTTCCCTTAATTCTAGCATTGTCCGTATCATGCTGTACGTAGCCCAAAGAGCAGATGGCCAAGCATTCTGCCTTGCCATGTCGCTAAAATATGTCATCAAGAGTGTCTCCTAAGCAATATTCTTAGAATTTCTTTCGTCACACCATTTTTCGTATACTTTCAATGCTATTTTATATCGCCCCCTACTTTTCTCTGGAAGTAAACTGACTTCGGCTCTTTTTGCAGCTTCTGTAAGTTGGAGTACCAATATTAAAGTAGTCTCCATTATCAGAACTTTCCGACAACATTCTGGCTTTCTATGTTATATAAATTCGAAAAAGCGATCGAGAAATTCAAAACTGCCACTTAGTTGTTTGTTTTGCTTTTGAAGGTTTGCGCCATAACAACCACTGGTACCGGTAACTATAGATACGGAAATGCCTAAACAGAAAATGACAAATTTTCGCATATTTATTTTTTGTCAAAATAAAATACTGTCCCAATTTTTTAATTAATGGTTGTGTATCGGTACTACTGCTTGAGAGCACCAAATCCAAAATTGAGAGTAATATTCAAATTACTCTCGAATGTGTAATTAATTTCAAAGTGGATCCAGTACACGTCGCAAAAAAAACTACTAGGGTCAACAACAACACGTATATTGGCAAATGATAAAACTTTAAAAACGGTAAATCAAACTGAAATTAAACAAATTCACTGCAGCTTCCCATTAACTTAAAGGTAAACTTGATATATAAAATACCTACAATAAATAGGTGAGAGAGAGAAATAACATTATCTAACTGAGGCGAGAGTAATATTGCGAGAATTAGCGAAAAATGTACAATTCAGAGACTAAATTAATAGGCGTGATGCTGCCTGAGAGGGTTCACGGGCGTCTCCTCGTGACAAAATAGAAAGTTAAGATCTGCCATTCGAACAAGACAAAAAAACACATGGCCGTCAAGGGTTGTATTTTAAGTGTTTTGCAGGTCAATTTAGCGAAGCGTGTGAAAGCATCCCTTCGTGATCAACTTTCTATTTTGTATACATTAGGTAGTAGGATAATTTTAACATATTTACAAAACTAATACTAGGTGTTCATCAAAATAGTAAAAAAACAAATGCGTTTGAATTGAATTCGAACAGGTTGTAAATAAAATAGTATACAAACCTCGGAGGAAAGTTTTCATTATTGTCTCGAGATTTAGTTTCAACAATATCAATCTCTCGACAGTATAATGAAACATTTCCCTCCTCGGTAATATACTATTCTCGTTAGAGACCGCACCTGTTGACGGAAGGACAGAAAGCAGTAAGAGTCAAAGCAGTGGTGTCAAAAAACTTTACATCGGTTTAACGCAGGAAACAAAAAAATATACACAGTATTGTTAGTGTCAGTCGGCTGTGCGGATGTTCCGAGATAATCCATAACTGACGAAAGTCATCCATTCTCGAAGTGTTTCCAAAAAGATGGTAGCAAAAAATCGCAAACTGCGATTCAATCGCAGCGATTTTAAAATTGCAATTGTAACCTGCGATTGGCTCTCATAGGAAACTGCGATTGCGATTTCTCCTACTTGCGAGTTTCAATTTAGGCAGCCAGTATTACTATAGCTGCGATTTGCGACTTTGTTGCGATTTGTGATTTTACTGCGATTGGCGATTTTGCTGCGACTGTGATTTTTTTAAACCGGGACTGTGATTTCTATTTGCGAGTTTGAATTTTTAAGAGTTGCGATTTGCGATATTGTTGCAAATGTAATTTTGTGGTCTATTGAAGCATTTTATAGTAAACTGCGATTGAATTTTCTCTGTGATATTATTTATAGAGAAGGTATTGGTTTGGTTGATTTTCTAGGGCAACAATCAATAATATACCGGGTGTTTCACAAGAGTGGTTCACCTCTATAACTTTTTTATTTCTTCTGATAAAAATACTTTTGGTATCTTAGTATATGACATAAATTAGGATTGATTGACGTATTCAATTCTTTTTGGCTACTTCCTGTTTCACCGGAAATGACTACAACTTTCGATTTTTAAACGGCCCCCTCGATATTTTTTTATCTTATTCGATAGAAAATGACACTCTGAATAGAATGGCATATCATATGGCAACTTTTGGCATTTTCGCTAAAAAAAATCGTTTTTTAAATTTCAATCTAGAATATCATGGCCGTGTTAAAAACACTAATTTTTAATCAATATACCTTGGAAAAATAGATTTGATCGTCTATTGTTTTTCGTGTTTTGTCCTGGTCGGTTAAAGATGCCCAAATCGTATTTTTAATCATATCTCAAATTTTTCAAATGGAACGAGGATGGCTCATTGGCATATTTAGAAAAAGCATTTTTTAAGAATAATTTGGTTTGGTAAATATTACAGTCGCAATTGCAGGTATAGTCGCCGCTACTTAACAATCGCAATCGCAGTTTCCATGGCGACTGGAGAATCACAGTTTTGCTCATCTCTACAGGTTAGTATTAGAACAAATAAAATACGTTAATAGCTTGTTTGGTTGCGGTATATTGTGGTACCCCCTTATATATTATTATCTTATAACATTCTACCCTCCTATATAGGCTTTTGAGGCCGTAGACCTTCATCTTCTAAACCAGTTTGCGTCCTATTCAGTTTCCATCGGTCCCAGTGATGATGCCGACCGTTAGTCACCGAACCGACCCATCAATTAGATAAATCGCTTTACCATCGACCTGGCACGATCCCAGCAGACGGTCTAGGCAGGCCGCGGCTTGCTGCTGCTGCTCCTGCTGCGGTTGTTACGAAGTCTTTCTCTATCGCAGTCGGCGTCTGTCCTGTCGTTCGTTTGGCAGGCTGGCGGTGATCTGTGGCAAGCGGCAGTTTTGACGCGCCAGTCGTTGCGATAGCAGCTCTGTGAAGCTGGCTGAAGCGGATTGATCGCGGTGTGCTTTTCTCCGATCATTTTTGGGCGATTTTTTTGTTTGTTTTTGCGGAATATGTGTGGTTTTGAATGGTGATTCCTGGAGTTTTCAAAGAATTTATTAGGATTATGGAAAATTATGTCTTGAATTGAAAAAGGTAGGATTTTTTTAATTATAAGTAAAATTTTGTGTTTCTAAAGCTGAAACTTGATGGATTTAGTGAATTTTAAAAAATCATGTCGCGAATTAAAACACCCATTGAATTTTATAAAATTTTAGGTAACTTTGTTATAATGTTTATTTATGCAGGGTGAGTTTTATATAAGTGCAAATATTTTTAAGGGTGGTATATTTCGACCCCTGAAAAAACCTCATAGACGTGTTTTTTGGCTTTTTGGATTTTTTTAATATAATATCTCTCTAGGTTAAATTTACAAGGAAGGGTTTTCAAAAAGGACCGTTTTTTAAATGAAACACTCTATATTATTGCATTTTTGGCTTCCCTTCAGATCACTTTACATAATCCTAAGGTATGAGTAAATATATTTCGATAGTTTCAGAGATATTAAAAAAAAATTACTTTTTCAGCCTTTCTTAAAAAAAATATTAAAAATACAAGAACTGCCCTGAAATGAAAACTATATTAGGTATTTACTTTAGATGGTCTATACTTACTTTGCTATAAATATGGCAATTGTAAATCATACAGGATGTTCAAAATTCTACGCCAAACTTTCTAAAATATAAAATAATTTTTCTTTGTTTTTTAATATATTATTTTTCCAATAGATGGGGAATTAAAAAATGAACATTTTTTGTATTTAGATTTTTTATTATTTCATAATTTTTAACAGTTTCGCAGATATTCGCGGTTTTATATTTCACATAGCATTCTCTACAGTAAATTTTTATCAAAGTCACCCAATGGTTTTTTCTCGTATATTACCGTTGAAAGAGCCATATGAAACAATACTGCGTGTAAATTAATATTCCATTAAATAAAACGAAGAAAAATTATTTTATATTTTATATAAGTTAGCGCGTAGAATTTTGAACACCCGGTATGATTTAAGATTACGATATTTACAGCAAAGTAAGTACAGACCATCTAATATCAATACCTAATATAGTTTTGATTTCAGGGCAGTTCTTATATTTATCATATTTTTTTAAGGAAGGTTTAAAAATGTATATTTTTTATTTATTTATTAATATCTCTAAAACTATCAAAATATATTTACTCATATCTTAGGATTATGTAAAGTGATCAGAAAGGAAGACAAAAATGCAGTAATACACAGGGTGTTCCATTTAAAAAAATCATCCCGATCCACTCACACTTTTTTGAGCCACCCTATAGAACTTAAAATATTTTCGTGAAATACATCCTCGTACAGGTTTGGACTTAAACAAAATTCACAAGTTTTTTATTCCAGGAGCTACAGATAGCCGGCGCACTATTGCCTAACCCTGTATAATATAATAATAATTATTATAGTTTAATAGGAAGAAAAACAAAAGTGCTACTAGAAACGAACCCAAACCCCCAAAAAAAACATAAAATATCAAATTTTTTAATAAATGATATTTTATAACATTGATATTTAGTGCTACCCTGCTACCTAGAGCATATTAAAAAAAATTATGTTATTTACGAAAATTGCAAAAAAGTCTTTTTTAAATATTTTAACCAAACTGTATATTTAAAATTATGTATTTCCGGACATATGTTTATAGGACCATTTTTTTCATATTTTTTGATGAGGAATCACATCCGGAATTTTGGCCGCACTTTTTTTGTATACCCTGTATATTTGTAAAATTGTCCTTTTAACAAGTAGTAAAACTTAAAGAATTCAAATTCGTTAATTATGTAAACCATTTTCGAAATAGAACGTTCAAAAATATATTGTAAAAATAACTTTTTTTGATAATTAATATACAAAATAAAAAAAGCTCTTTAGGTAGCTGATTGAAGCTCGAGCTTTTTTTAATCATGATTGTTCTAATTAAGTTTGTTGTCGTTTTTTAAATGATAGTCATTTATGAGATATTTAAGGCTTAAATTTTATTTTAATATGTGGAAAATTTCTTCAAATGAGAGGGACTAGAAGAAGTCGAATCATTTACCAGGAACATTTTCTTTCTTATTATTTTTATTGCTGCTAACTATGTATTGAATTTGGGTTAGAGTTTTTTCTCCTTTATTGTTAGTTCTTTTCTGAAAAACAAATGAGATATAGGCATTAAACGCAGATTTTTAAGGAAAAAATCAGCCCAAATGGTATGGAAACCACTCTATTCTGATTGTGTAAATTTATTTGATTACTTATACCATTATGATCGAAAAACAAAAACGGTGTCAAAAACAGCTGGGGTATGACAATCGGTGGCAATTTTGGCGAGGTCAAGCCCTAGACGTCATTTACTTAGCCCGTATTCTTCGTCTTATTTTTATATCGAGTAAAACTCAGTTTTAAATGGCGTACTAATTCGAGAAAAAATAATTTTTTAGAAATAGATTTGTACATCTGCAAACGGGGTGGGGGGTTCTATCTTTTTTAATATTTCTATAACTAATGTTGCTTTTTGACAAGTTTTATGTCAATTTATAGTAAATGACGTCTAGAAATTGACCTCGCTAAAATTATTATCGATTTTCATTTTTTAGCCCTATTTGACGCCGTTTTTTTTCGATCAAACGGTATTGTGATCCATTTTTCATTTAGATAGGAGATGTCTATTGCCACTTGTCATTGGGATTAAGGGATTAATATACTAATACTTATATAAATATTAATTTCCTAATACATAGATACCACAAAAAATATATTATCACGTTTCACGGGGGTCCAGGTTATCAGAGATAATAAAAACTAGACAAAAAATATATAAAAATTATCTTTCTCAGTCACACTTAATCGTAATGGATGACTATAGCTAATCAATCGCTGACTTAACTATGCATATGTCATTTTTGTATTTTTAGCTGTAAAGCCCTGTATACACATAACGTTTTACCTGTCAGTCTTGCCTGTTCAGTCAAAACGTATCAAGTAAAATCGTGTGTGGGCGAACAACACGATCCGTTTTAACTTATTAAGACGAAGGACCGTCTACAATTGAAGAAATCATTCAGTTTTACAATAAAACTGTCGTTTTGCCTACACTGCACACTACAGCTACAAAAAAAATAATAAGGATATAGTATAGCATCCTTAATAAGAGACTTTTAAAAACCTAATATTTTCACATAGTTTTACAAAATAATATAATTTTATAAAATTGTTTAGAGATATTTATTCATTATTTCCAAACGAATATTATTTCCACATTAACAACAGTACTTCCTCCATGGTAATTACAAAAAACTGATCTAAAAATGACGAGATCGCAGGTAAAACTTCTAGTGTATGGTGTATGCACGCATTCTCTAGTCTTTTATCTATCTTACCTTACAGGTAAAAGGTTTTACAGAAACAAAATTCTTTGACATGAATACCTAATTAAACTAAAAGATACGCCGTAGAAATCTTAATAATATACGGATGATAACATTTAAAAATATATTTGTAAATGTAAATTTTAACACAACTGTAATCATTAAACGCTTCTATAAGAAAAAAACCGAACATGTGTAGGAAATGAATTTTCAGAAAAATTAAAAAAAATACTAAAAGATACGCCGTAGAAATCTTAATAATATACGGATGATAACATTTAAAAATATATTTGTAAATGTAAATTTTAACACAACAACTGTAATCATTAAACGCTTCTATAAGAAAAAAAACCGAACATGTGTAGGAAATGAATTTTCAGAAAAATAAAAACAATACAATAATATTTGGCTGGGGTCAGATTTTCGCACGAGTCCTCGCTAGAGACGCTCAAAAATATCGATAATGTAGAAAATGTCGATACACATCGCCTGTATTTTTTTATTTTCGATATATCGATAAGCTGAAGTATGTATATCTTACCTTTTGATAATTAAAAATATACAGGATATTTCTGTAAACATAGAACTGCTGCATATTTTTCGAATCAAAATAAGCAAATTGAACAGAAGTTACACCTATACAAAAATGCTTCGTTTAATAAACACATATTTTAAGATACTTTTACTTTAAATGTTTACTTTAAGACCGTTATTCCGATTTGAATGAAAAGGGTGCCTATGTTTTGCTAAAATATGCTTTAACATTTGCCTTCACAAAAAATAAAAAGGGTACGAGAAGGGTGAAAACTACCCTCATCTCTACATAAATTCTAACAGAAATCTTTTGCAACTTCAGAGACGACAGATTTTTATTCGTAAAACGGTCTTTGTAGTATTACCACATGTTTGTCTTATAAAAAAAACGCTTGGCTAAAGGAGAGTTTATAGTTAGTAACAAAAAGACCGTTTGATTTTATTTAAAAACAACTATAAAGAATTAAATCCATGAAAACAAATCTCAGAAAGTTGTAATTCAATTTCTACACATTAAATTAGAAAGAAAAAAGACTCTCAAAACCATTATATAAGTTTATAATAATTCAGTAAGAAATAAAAAAACAAACTATGTATATAGTTTTGCTTATTATATCGATTATTTCTCAAAATGAACATCTCTAATGCTCTCTAATAAAATAAATGTTATGGAAAATGTCTGGTAAGTCGTGGGGGTCAAAGTCACACTTGAACTCCGGGAAATATTGATGATAAATTTTTTGACTCCCATCAGTTCAAACGTCTAAATGTTTGGTTAATCAGTTCACATTTTAAGAAAAATAAACCATTTTATTTTTGATATAAGAGAATTAATTAATTATCACGAGATAAATATACTATAGTGATAAAAGAATTTATGGTATATTTTAATTAAATTCATGGTTTGATATTAAAGTATTTAATTCATGTAATATAGAAAATTATATTAGATGAATAATTATATTCTTTCTGTTGATACGTTTGCTTGGTCTATTGGTTGATATGAATCCAGTTTCGTAGTCAGTCGGTTGTAGTACGTCTCGAATTGATTTTTATCTGATAGTATAAACCCCCGTAACCAGAAATTAACATATAATATAAATTACACCAAAAAAATGATCTTTGGACTATGAGAAACATCCGGATATCTTCAAAATACCGACATTCAATAACAATTTTAT